CCTCATATGTGGGATCCGAACCAGGGCCCTCTGGCGTCCCAAGCCAGCTCTTAACCAATGCGCCACTCGGCCGGCCCAACTTTGTAGTATCTTGAGTGTGAGATCACGATAGTTTTGTGAAGCCGGCCGAGTGGCTCAGCTGGTGAAGAGTTAACTTAACAGTGAGAGCTCTGAGCAACATTGCGACCGGTTGGATTCCCACATGGGCCAGTGATGCTGTGCCCGAGCTGAGCTGCTGCTGATCTGCCAACAGGTGGCAGGATGGCTCAGCTGGTGAGAGCACGTGCTCCTAACAACAAGACTGCCTATTTGATGGTGAGCTATGCCCACCCGCAACTAAGACTGAACTCGGCACCTTGAGCTGAGCTGCTGCCCGGATGGCTCAGTGGATGGAGCAAGTGCTCTTAACAACAAAGCTGCTAGTTCAACTCCTGCATGGGATGGTGGCTACGCCCACCGGCAACTAAGACTGAATACAGCACCTTGAGCTTAGAGGCCACGAGCTGCCAATAGGCAGCCAGACGGCGACTGGCACCCTCCACAACTAAGACTGAAGAACAACTTGGCTGGTCCCCTTCCCCAATTCCCCAACACTGTTCCCCTCCTCCAATTCCCCAATTTAAAAAAAAAATAGTTTTGTGACCACTGGTGTGGACAATAGATTAATTTTTATATAAAAAAATTAGGTTCTTTTCACATGATCAAAGAATTCACTCTGGAAAATTTGCAAACTAGGGAAAAATAAAAACATCTTTTATTGAATCTTATATTTATTTTTTTTAATTATAAAAGTAATATAACACCATTACCAAAAATTTGGAGAAGAAAAAAAATCTACTTGGAATGTCACTACCCTAATACAACTTTTACAAAATATATTTTTTCCCTCCTTATAAAAGCAATGCATACTCATTGCAAAAACAAACATGAGAAGAATATGTAACTAGAACTAGAAAGTCCTTTTAGTCCCACCTTCCAGAGATGATATTCTCTCTGGAATACTCATTACCACAGCAATTATCATTTTTGCTTATTTCCTCCTACATTTTTTTTCATGTGTTTTACAAAGTCATTGTCATAGTATATACACAATTTTATACCCTGTCCTTTTCATTATCATTGTATCACCCATTTTACCCTCCTGCTATAGAAACATTAAACTTAGGGTTTTTAATAAAATGGTTATAGCCTATTAAGGGAATGAACCATAATTTTCTAAACTATCCCCTTAGTGTGACATGTGTGTGGGGTGGCTGTTTTTCTATTGTGAATATGGCTGCTATGAACATCCTAATGCATGTAGCTTTCCCCATAATTAAGTTATATAAAGATAAATTCACAGGTGGACATTGCTTCAAAGGGTAGGAACAGTTTTATGGCCCTTGAAACATAATGCTAAAATTATCATCAAAAAGATTGAGCCCAGGGGGGTGACCGGTTAGCTCAGTTGGTTAGAGCGTGATGCTGATAATACCAAGGTTGCCAGTTCGATCCCCGCATGGGCCACTGTGAGCTGCACCCTCCTATGTAGCCATTGGGGGGCTACAACTATGCCATTGTAGCATGAAAGCAATGTGTAACCAATGACAATGGCTGTTCCCCAATAAGATTAAAAAAAAAAAAAGATTGAGCCCATTTAGAGTATAGCAACAACTACCAGTTTCATTCCACCCTTGTCAATTCTTTTGTTTCTTTTACTAAAATAACAGATGAAAATGTGTTCATTTGATCTGGTGAGGTGTACCCACATATCCAGTACTGACCTGGGGTACTTGATCTTGAACTTGGACAACTTTTCTGTTATCCCGCCATCAATCAGTTTACAGAACGTTTCTTTCCTCACCCTTATCACCTCAGTTCCCAGGCTCACAAGGATCAAGGGCCGAGTGTCTTGTTGGTTCTCCGGGAGGAGGATCTGGTGCAGGCCCTGGAGAAAAGAAGTCACAGAAAATCCTACCTCAGAGGCCATCCACTTCTACCAGATTTTCGAGATGGGAAAAAAACAAGACCCCAAACAGGAAGTGAACCCATCTGGGGTCATTCAGCAAGTGATGGGGACAAGTCCAGGGCTCCTTTTGCTACATGACATTGAATCTTCTGACTCTTTGAATTACAAGAGCCCTTAAAGCACTTAGTCCACATCTTACCTCCAGGCAGCAGGATCTCCAAGAATCTCACTCACTCTGGAGACGACAGAATTTTACAAGTTTTCCCCAGCGTCAATATCTGCTTTTCCTTGTGCCAAGTAAGCCCATTTTTCTCTTCCTTAGGACTACGACAAAAATCAAACAGCTAGAGCTAGTCCTCCTCTCTAAGCCTTCCCTTTGGGAGCCACCACTCCTGCCCCATCCTTTTCTTCTGTAGGTCTTTGCTCATAACTGCGTGTTCCCGCTGAGCCTCAGTTCTTTCTCCATCCCGTATCGACTTTGGGGGCCACTGGCCTCCTCTCTGCAGCTTATGAGGCTCCTTTGGCTCCCTGGCATGGATTCTGATTTGGTTATATCTGGAAGGAAGATGGAGATCAACAGGCATACCTGGTTGTTTTACATACAGTGTAACCCCTTTTTAAGGAGACACCTTGAAATGGGACAAAGGCAGGACTAGAGCCCTGGTTGCTGAACTCTCAATCCAGTGTTCACTCCTCAGTCTCTCAGCTATTAATTACGACTCAGGCAAGAAGGGAAGTGGAGGTCAGTGGCCCCAGAGCCAATAATGCCCTTCTGTCTTGGGCTTAATAAGAAAGGAGGCCATAAACCAAGGGGTCTGCTCTATGTGGGATTGGAAATTATCCTGGCTTCAGAAGGCAGATCCAATTGTTTACTTGTTATGTAACTTGGGGCAAGTTACACGTCCCCGGGCCATTGCTTGCTCATCTGTGAACCAGAGGTAAGACTACCTGCCCACATGTCTCCGAGGGATTCTGAATTTGAAGGATGTGAAGTGAGACTTGGGACAGCCCCCCACCCCACCACCACCATTTGAGTTTTAGACCTTGAAGCATGACCATCTGCAAACTCTTCGGTGCTCTGAGCCCTGGCCTTGTCTATCCTTGGTAAGACTGGAATGGAGGTATGTTATCTTTCTCATGAAGCTGTTGAAGGTCCAAACAAGATAGTGTGAGAACATTCTGGGAGACAAAGCACCCCACACGTCAGTTATGCTCAGTATAGTGGGCATGAAGGCCCTTCTAACCAGCGCCAGGTCTTACACAGAAACCAGAGCAGCTGCCCTTTAGCCAGTTCCTACTGTGTGGTGAAAATATACAATATATATATAAATTTAATCTTCCCAGGCACCCTAGGATATAGGGATTATCATCCTCAGATGTGGAAAATGAGGCTTAGAAAAGGAAATTTACTTGTCAAAGGTCATACATTTTGTAATTATAATAACAATGAGGAGACAATAATGATGATGATGATGATGATGATGATGATGATAGCACCAGCAAACCTTTATTGAACATTCACTAAATCCCAACCCTTCTTGTAACTTTTTTTTTTAAAGATTTTATTGGGGAATTGGGAGAGGGGAACAGCGTTGGGGAATCAGGGAAGGGGAACGGACAAGTTGCTGTCCTTTTGTTATTCAGTCTAGTTGTGGAGGATGTTGCTTCACTGGCGCATGTTGGTATTATCATTGTGCTCTTCCCGGGTGAGGCAATTGGTCACCAGCCACTGGACGGCCGCTCACGGCGGCTCTTGGCAGCTCACACCGGCTGCCAACTGCTCATGCTGGCTGCCGGAGACTCACAACAGCCCAGCTTCAGGTTGTGCTGTTGTTCACCATCTTAGCTGTAGAGGGCACAGNAAAAAAAAAAAAAAAAAAAAGGAGGATTTGAGCTGGATAATGGATATGATTTCTGCCTGCTTTAGCAGTCTAAAAAACAATGAGTTCAACAATTAATGAATCAGCTGGAATTCAAACTGTCAGCATTATAGATGACTGCAGCAAAGTGCTGACTGGGCAGCACAGATGCCCAAACCCCTAAACATCTGCCACCCTCCAGTCTATGTAAACCTTTTCTGAATTTCAATTCAACAGACATTAACTGATACCCATCATGTGCCAGGCATTATGGGAGGGGCTAAGGCTCCTTAAACCCTTCCTTGTGTAGGTGGCTCTGAATAGCCATTTTCTATATTGATAGTATAGAGGAACCAGAGAATTGTAGCATCTTTGAACTATGAACCACCAGTATTACCCAACTTTTCTCACAAAACTGTCCCAATTTGGGCCATATCTATATATTAATATTATCTGTTCTTTAATTTACTAATGCTTTTTCTTAAATCTACTTAGTTTCTTTTAATTAACTATTTACTTTGGCTTTGTTCTAAGCAATTAGATCTGTCAGATCATGCGTTTAGTGAGCCATAAAAGCTATTCATGTTTTATTTCTAATTCACACTAGAATATATAGCTGTTAAAACAAATAATGTCAATTTGTGTGCCACCTAAAATTGTCTTGTAAACCTTCTGTGAATATGTTCCAAACTTTGGGAAACACTGATCTAGTCTAGTTTTCTTGTTTTGCAGATTGGAGTCTGAAGCCTGGAGGAGAGGAAATGACTTATCCCACGTCATACAGGTCCCCCGTCAAATCCTTTCATGTGCTTATGGAACATGGCTGCAGTAACTCGACAGAGCTGCTTGACTTTACACCTCTTTCTCTACCTGGAATCACTTGCTTCCCACACCTGTCAGCAAAACCAAGTCTGATCACAATATCGCCACAAGAAAAGAAAAAAGGGGAGGATGTAAAATTGTACAATCAGTATGATCCTCATTAAGAAACTCTGTGTGCCTGAATAATATATAAATGCATATTTGACACATGTCCATGCGGTTAATAAAAAACAACCTAAAAGGAAATACACAAAATGCTAATTGGGATTGTTGGAGAAATGCAAATAATCTTGGTTTTTGCCTTTTTAAATGTTTAGCACTTTTCAGTTTTCCACAACGAGTATGCCCCATTCGGTCAACATTTATTGAGCACCTACCAGGTACTGTACAGGGGCGAGAGATGACAAGCAGATAAGACCCTTCATGATGCAATCAATCAAGTGGTGGGGAAAGAACTGTACAAATTACACGGCTCCCAACAGCCATAATACAGCGTGTGCGGTAAATGACAGAGCCGTGGAGGGAGCATGATAATGTACAGAAAGGGGTACTTACCCCTATCAGGGCTCAGTCAGGAAAGGTTTTCTGAAGGAGATGAATCTTAACGAACAAGCAGGAATTTATCAGAAAAACAGGGGCAGGATTGGGGGATGGCAGAAGGGCCTGCATTGGCAAAGGTGAGTATGGGCAGGGTCCAGGAGGCGATCTTCCTGGGTTGCTGGAATGGGTTAGAGGTGGCAGGGGGTGCTGCAGGGGAATTGAGGGGTGAGTCTATGAAGGGCCATCTATGTGGCATTGAGTCTGCACTGTACCCTATAGGCAGTGAGATACCACTGAAAGTTTTTAAGCAGGAGTGTAACATGGCCAGATTGGGTTTTACCAAGTGCACAGTAAGCAGAAAGGATCTGGCAAGGGGGGAGACTGGGGCAGGGGGACCAGTGGTAGGGCTGTTGAAGGAGTTTAGGATGGGTGTCCCAAAGTGGGGGTGGGGAGCATGTCACTCAGGGAGGTGAATAAGATGAAGAAAGTAGTAGGGGTGTATAAAGAAAATAGTAGGATTTCATTTATATTTACCTTTGTCTTATTCTTTCTAAAGATCTATTTTTGTATCTTTATAATGTATATGATATATTATTAGTACAGCAATATAAGGATATAATAAAAATAAATTAAATAACATGTTATTTATATTACATATATATTCTTAGAGAAAATATGCTCAAACACTTTTTAGTATCTTTTTTTTTTAAACATTTTTTATTGGGGAATTGGGGGATGGGAACAGCGCTTGGGAATTGGGGGAAGGGGAACAGACAAGTTGGTGTTGTTTTGTTCTTCAGTCTAGTTGTGGAGGATGTTGCTTCACTGGCCCAAGTTGGCATCATCATTGCGCTCTTCCTAGGCGAGGCAGGTCAGTCGCCGGCTTCTGGATGGCCGCTCACGGCGGCTACTGGCTGCTCACGCTGGCTGCCGGCCACACATGGCAGCCCATGGCAACCCACTGCAGCAGGGGCTGCAGCCTACGCCGTCGCCCTCGACTCACGGCAGCCCATCTCCAGGTTGAGCTGTTGTTCAGCATCTTAGCTGTAGAGGGCAGTGTCACTGGCCCTCATATGTGGGATCCGAACCAGGGACCTCATATGTGGGATCC